TCACCTCCCTGATGGTTGATCATGAAGCCAGTCGGGCGGTGTTACAGTGGTGGGCGACATCCTCTGCTGCTATATGATTTCTCCAATGACAAGAAGCGTTTCCAACACTCATACTTTCTCATCAACAGTCCTGTCTCATTGCACTACAGTCAATCCTATCAACCGACCTCCTTAATTTTGTAGAAGCATTTTTTTTTCTCCTACTTTTTGTTTTCTTTTTAAGCGGGGGTCCACTGAACTCTGCCCCCGTTTTACTGGTAGGAGTTTTTTTCACTGCTTCCTCCTTAGTTCACCATGCGTTTTAGGGAGTGTTGACTACTATTTTAAAACGACAATATGTCAGTGGGTATGAATTTATCTGCCAACAGTAAGCTACCGCTGCCTATGTGGTTGTTTCACAGAGAGCAGCATTTATCAACTTTGTATTCCCTGTTTCACAGAGAGCAGCATTTATCAACTTTGTATTTATTTTTCCACAGCACGATGAATTAATCTACCAACACTACTAAACGCTCCCGCTGCCTATGTGGTTTTTCACGAGCATTTATCAACTTTGTATTTATTTTTCCACAGCACTAAGTTTGCAATGACTAGGAATCTACCAACACTACTAAACGCACCCGCTGCCTATGTGGTTGTTTCACAGAAAGCAGCCTTTATCAACTTTGTATTTATTTTTCCACAGCACTAAGTTTGCAATGACGAGGCCTTCGGGCCTAAAATATAAAATTTTATTTATTTATATTTTATTTAGTTAAAAGGGAACCGTGGTCGTAGTAGACCTGAGCTGAAAAGTAGCAAAGTCGACGCAAAACCTATGAGCGTAGAGGAAATCGGCCCCTAGAATGCCTTCCCACTGAACAGCCGCACAAACATAAAAATGATGGCGAAATTCGGAGGAACCAAGATGGAGAGGTACGTCGATTAAAGAAGATAAAGAAAGAGGCATGCCATTGGCAGCCACGATACGAGAACTTCAGTGGGATACCTCGGCTTTTCGAAGCCATGCACGGGAGAAGCCCTTGGGATTAAGTAAAAAGCAAGCTGTCCCGGTGTCGACAATAAAAGTCACTCGCGTGTCAGCAACCAATGCACCAACAATAGGAGCAGCAAAATCAGAATTGGATGAAACAGAGGGCATGGGTAGGGACTCACTTGAAATTTGGGTTACCAAAGCCTGACGTTCCCGGGGTGGAAGAGATAAATGCAAATAGGTCTGCGTTGCCACTGACCTAGTCGTCACCGAACGAGCCCTGATCGCTGGACAAGGGAAGCCGCGAGGCAGGGTGAAGTAAGCGAAGGGCCATAACGGTCCTCAAAGTCCCGGACCAGAGACAAAAGTTCTTCGGCGGCTAGGGATTACCTCTTGATCAGCTTACGCCGCAGGTGGTCGTCGAGAATTCCAGCGCGAAAGTGTGCGACAAGAATTGCGTCCGACACAGAAGAGGGGCAGTCCGGCAATGCTGCGAAGAGTAAGGACGAAGACACCCCAAATAGTCACGCACGCTCTCCCCAGGAAGCTGCAGACGAGACGAAAACTGTGGATAAGCATCAACAGGAAGTCAAGGGGTAGCAAAGATGCACCGAAGGGACGAAAGCAGTGAGTTGACATCAGCGTCGAACTTCCCGCCGAAGGAAAAAGCTTTGGTTAACGCCTCCGTGGATAGATGGCAACAGATGTAGTGGAAACGGTCTTTCGCAGCCACGGAGGGCAAATTAATCTTGGCCAGGGAATGCCACAGGTCACAATTATCTCCCGGTTTGAGAAGGGGCAAGGTGTTTGTGGTACACTGCAGTGTCTCCAACACTGACAGAAGAGTTTGGCGCAACTCGGACAAGCCAACGTTGGCAGGCAAGGGGGTGGACGGGGATCCATGCAGGTCACCGGACATCATGCATAACCGCTGCTACCAGTTTTTTTAATGTGTAAGCAGTCAGCAGGCAATCTCAATGAGAATTCCTTTAGAAAACAGTCATTTTATTGAGATTGGGAGCAAACAGGAGAAACGGAACAAAAAAAGGGTGCGGAGTAGCAAGAAGTCCAAACGAAAAAGGGGGGCACCAGGAACAAGCCACAGCACTTTGCTGAGACAGCCTGGAGAGTCGGATTTAGCCAATTAGGCCTCGTCCTCGACACCTTCGTCAACGGTTGGCTCCTCGGTCTCAACAAGTACAGTCAGATACGGGAGGGTGAGTTCAGGAAGAGGATGTTAAGTAGTAATATACATTACATTCACTCAGCGGTCAATCGCAAAGATCATCGTATTTTCCAATTTTGGCTGGTTTTCCTCTACCCGTTCCAATGACTCTTTTTCATTTCGTTTCATTCTTACCGTTTACACACGGTAAGTTTTAATGTGCTGGCACTGACACTGTCACATATGTAAAAGGTATCTGCACCGCCATTTTCAGA